TCTACATCTACAGAGACGGTAAACATGCAGGAAGTGGATAGGATGAGGAATTTCACAATAAAGTTCAGTAGAAGAAGAAGAGTGTGATGTTGATGATGAAGATGAAGATGATGATGATGAAGATGATGATGATGATGAAGATGACCTTCAGTCTCTCTGTTTTTCAGGGAATTCGACAGAAACAGCGACTGTGGATGAAAACACTCATGAGTTCTTCACTGAACTCACGGAACAAGGAACGTACCGAGTCCAGGTCGCCACCCTGAGCTCGTCTGGAGACTGTGAGGCCAGAGAGAGCGCCGCCGACACCGGGTTCACCTTCTACCTCGGTAACATCAACAACAACAACACTGTCACTCTGCAGTGAATACACTCCCTTAAACAGTAACACTCATTTAAGGATCAATAATATTATAGTTACAGAAGATTATAAATTAATGGATTGTAACTAAGGTATTTTTAAGGAATTCTATGTTCAAAAATCCTTTAAAATGAACCTTAAAAACATGATCCTGATAATAATTAAAATCATTCAGTGAATGTTTTGAGTCTGTGACTCATGATTATTTTCACTATGAATTGATTAATTATTGATTAGTCATTCAGTGTTAGAGATAGTGAACACACAGTATGTACAGTTTTTTTAAGATTTGATTTAATGTCATTTATCAAAATAAAATCATCAAATCGTCACTTTGATGATAAATAATAAATCCTGAAATATCAAAGTAGTTTTGATTAATTGATGAAATGTTGCAGCTGTAGATTATTTTTACAAGAAGTAGAAATTGAATATTTTAATTAAAATGTATTTAAGGGCTTCACTGCTTATTAATGGATAAATAATTGGATAATACAGTATTAAGGGTTTGGTATGGTTTGGTTCACAGTGGATTTAAAGACTGAACATGAATATTTTATTTAAAGAAAGAGAAACTGATCTGGTTTTCTTCTGTGAATCCCTGAATGAAACCCACGTGGACTCGTGTATCTACCTGGTCCAGGTCCTGGTGGCGAGCTGCTGGAGGAGCTGAGGGAGCGTCCTCAGGCCGTCAGCGTCCGGCTGCTGGATTCCAGCACCGCCGCCGTGTCCTGGGCCTCGTCCTCCGAGAGCCACAACGGCAGCCTGGTGTCAGTGGTTTCTACGACCTGCCTGAGACCCAGTCTGAGCCAGAGGATGGAGAACACCTACTGCAGCGAGGTCAGGGGGACTGGGTCTGGGTCTGGGTCTGTAGACTGAGCTGGGTCTGGGTCTGGGTCTGGGACTGGGTCTGTAGACTGAGCTGGGTCTGGGTCTGGGTCTGTAGACTGAGCTGGGACTGGGTCTGTAGACTGAGCTGGGTCTGGGTCAATTTGTGAGACTTAAAAACATTTAAAAATCTTCACTTTGAGACTTTTTCCTTGTAAAATCTGTTTTATAATTTTACAGTTTTAAAATTATAAACAGTTTTAAACTATTTTTATAAATTACAACTTTGTGCACAAAATATGGCACTGTCATTTTTTACAACTTTATTCTTCAAATACAGCTGAACTTCCTTTTCATTAATCTTATAATATCACAACTTTCTGTTCAAAACTTTTCACCTTCTTCCTCTTCTGCAGTTACGACTTCACTTCCTGAAAACGATCTTTGAAATTAAAACTTCATTAGTGTATTTATAGTATTTTTCTCTAAATCAACTTTCTTTTCAGAAATATTTCAGCTTCATTCTTAAAACATTGACTTATTTTTTAATGTGACATTTTCTGTTAAATTCAAATTCACATAAAAACTTTATTGTCAAACTTTTATGTCTTAATTCTTAATATCGACTTACGACTTTATTTCATCTTTATGTTTTGAATCATTAACATTAATTGAATAATTAATGAGAATTCTTTTGAATGTCCTCTCCGGGGAACATCTCATTCTCATGTGACCTCTGAGCACGGAGGGTGTAGGAGGTCAGTGTTTGCTCAGAGGCACGGCGGCAGTGTGATCAGCAGTTTAAAGATTGTTTTTTTCACAGGAGAACTCGACGAGTGATGTCATCTCTAACCTGACCCCCGGCGCTCAGTACAGGGTGGTGGTCTATCACACCAACGGACCCCTGATCAGCCCTCCGTCTGAGCCCGTCATCATCGACATAGGTGAATGTCCCGAGTCATCCCAGGTCGTTCGCCTGGACGTTCATTCACCTGGACTGTAAATATAAATGTATAAATGTGTGTGTTTGTGATGTCAGAGCCCACTGGCGTGCGGGAGCTGGCTGTTTACCCTCTCAGTCCCACGGCGGTCATCCTCAGCTGGCAGCGTCCGTACCACGTGGCGTTCAGGAAGTACATCCTGCAGACCTTCTTCTTCAACCCCGTCACTCTGGCCTCGGAGTGGACCACCTACTACGAGATTGCCGCCACCGCTTCCATCATCGCCTCCGTGGTAATGCAGACGAAAGCGTGTTTGTGTGTTATGACAGTGATTCCCTCTTCTTCTTCTTCTTCTTCTTCTTCTTCTGTGTGTTTTGACCGATCTTCTCTTCCTCTCTGTTCCTGGTGTTTCCTCTTAGAGAGTCACTGACCTGCTGCCCGCCTGGTATTATAATTTCCGTGTTTCCATGGTGACGTGGGGCGACCCGCCACTCAGCTGCTGCGACAGCTCCACTGTGAGCTTCGTCACAGGTAATGAGGTGTCTGTTATTACACCTCCCTCACATTCATGTGTTCGCGCTCCTGTTTTCTGTCGACAAATGAATTACGAGCAGCCGGAGTTCATGACGCACCGTCAGGTCGAACCGCCACACACACCTGAACAATCCAACATGTCCGCCATGAGCTTCACCTCATCAACAGTAACACTGTTTTCAGTCCAGTCACTTCTACTTTGTCATCAATGTCAATATTTCCTGTAGCTATTTCACATTAAAAGCCTACCAGCAGCTCAAAGCACAAAATCCCCTCCTTTCCTGGTAGGCTTTTAATGTGAAACATCTGCAGGAAGTGTTCGAGCGATCAAGAAAACAGCAAAGAAGAAGTGACTAGAATAAATCAGTGAGTGAAAACGGTGTTGTAGTTGAAGAGAAAGTGCTGTTTCACTTCCTGCAGATATTTCACATTAAAAGCCTACCAGCAGCTGAAAGCAAAAAATCCCTTCATCCCTGTTAGGCTTTTAATGTGAAAGATATACAGGAAGTGTTGTTGACAACCAACAGTTTCTTTCATATTTCTTGTCATTTTTCACTGAATTAATCACACATTGTAGATTTTTGCAGGTTTTTAAAGTTTATTTATTTAATTTTTACAGGGACAAAGCAGCTGTTAGCCGTGTTAGCTAAAAAGCTAATTTTGTTATCCATTAAAATAACAACCAACAATTTGACCTGATTAATTCATTCATTTCTCTCTCTCTCTGTCTGTCTGTCTCTCTGTCTGTCTCTGTCTGTCTCTGTCTGTCTCTCTCTCTCTCTGTCTGTCTGTCTCTCTCTGTCTCTGTCTCTGTCTGTCTGTCTGTCTGTCTCTCTCTGTCTCTCTGTCTGTCTGTCTGTCTCTCTCTGTCTCTCTGTCTGTCTGTCTGTCTGTCTCTGTCTGTCTCTCTCTCTCTCTGTCTGTCTCTGTCTCTCTGTCTGTCTGTCTCTGTCTCTCTGTCTCTCTCTGTCTGTCTCTCTGTCTGTCTGTCTCTCTGTCTGTCTCTGTCTCTCTCTGTCTGTCTCTCTCTATTGTCTGTCTCTGTCTCTCTGTCTCTCTCTGTCTGTCTCTGTCTCTCTGTCTGTCTCTATCTCTCTGTCTGTCTCTGTCTCTCTGTCTGTCTGTCTCTCTGTCTGTCTCTCTCTGTCTGTCTCTCTCTCTCTGTCTGTCTCTGTCTCTCTGTCTCTCTCTGTCTGTCTCTCTGTCTGTCTCTCTCTCTGTCTGTCTCTGTCTCTCTCTGTCTGTCTCTCTCTATTGTCTGTCTCTGTCTCTCTGTCTGTCTCTGTCTCTCTGTCTGTCTCTATCTCTCTGTCTGTCTCTGTCTCTCTGTCTGTCTGTCTCTCTGTCTGTCTCTGTCTCTCTCTGTCTGTCTCTATCTCTGTGTCTGTCTCTGTCTCCAGCCCCGGAGGCTCCTCACATCTCCTCGGTGGATTACTCTCATGGCGTTCTGTACGTTCGTTGGACGTACGGTGAACTGTTCATCGACCTGTCACACTCCAGGATGCTGCACTGGCAGGTGGTCGCCGTCGGCAAGAAGGGACCTGAGAAGAGCTACTCCATCGACGTGAGTCATTCACTCACCCATTCACTCATCCATTCATCCATTCATTCATTCATCCATCCATTCCACCATTCACTCATTCATCCATTCATTCATTCATTCACCCATTCATCCAGTCCTTTCTTATAGAGATGAACTTGAGTGTTTGTGTCTCCACAAAAACTCTTTCACTGAATCTGAAACCATTTCAAATAACCTGCAGCAGATGATGAGCAGGTGATGGTGGTGAGACTCTGCAGGTGGAGTCACCTGTTCATCCTGAGCTGTGTCAGAGCTCCACCTGAGTTTTCAGCCCCTCACCTGTCTGTGAATCACAGACAGATGATGTTGGACTTTGTTGTAGAAGCTGTCCTGCTCTGATCTTCACTGACCTGAGAACGGGTCCAGCTTCATGTCTGGATGAACTGGGTCTGATCAGGTGTGTGTTCGGTGGAAGCTCAGACTCTGCAACAGCAGCAACTTCAGCTTCAGCAGCAGATTCAACTTCCGCTACAGCAGCTTCCGCAGCAGCTTCAGCAGCAGCTTCAGCAGCAGCTTCAGCAGCAGCTTCAGCAGCAACTTCAGCTTCAGCAGCAGCTTCAGCAACAGCTTCAGCAGCAACTTCAGCTTCAGCAGCAGCTTCAGAAGCAACTTCAGCTTCAGGAGCAGCTTCAGCTTCAGCAACAGCTTCAGAAGCAACTTCAGCTTTAGCAACAGCTTCAGAAGCAACTACAGCTTCAGCAACAGCTTCAGCAGCAACTTCAGCTTCAGCAGCAGCTTCAGAAGCAACTTCAGCTTCAGCAGCAGCTTCAGCTTCAGCAACAGCTTCAGAAGCAATTTCAGCTTTAGCAACAGCTTCAGAAGCAACTTCAGCTTCAGCAACAGCTTCAGCAGCAACTTCAGCTTCAGCAGCAGCTTCAGAAGCAACTTCAGCTTCAGCAGCAGCTTCAGCAACAGCTTCAGAAGCAACTTCAGCTTTAGCAACAGCTTCAGCAGCAACTTCAGCTTCAGCAGCAGCTTCAGCAGCAACTTTAGCTTTAGCAACAGCTTCAGCAGGAGCTTCAGCTTCAGCAGCAGCTTCAGCAGCAACTTCAGCTTCAGCAGCAGCAGCTTGTTACTTGGAGCTGAGCTGTTATTGATTCTCTCCTCTGGGTTGTTCGATGGTCCAATTAGCAGCAGCTGTCTCTGCTGCAGGAGCTGCGACTCGTCTTCTCCTCCAAGAGGCCAATTATGTTCCCGGCAGACTCAGACTCGTTAGCTGCTGGAGGCTCAGAGCTGCCGTTTGAGCCTTAATTGGCCCGACCGATGGATCCGCAGCAACCGAGACACAGTGTGAAGGTGTTGGAGACGTCGCAGAGCGAGGCTGAAGGTTTAGAGCTGAGGATCCTGGTCCACACAGAACCACCACAACACCTGAGTCTCAGCTCACAGCACCTGTCCTCCCAGGATGCATTTCAACAGTGACTGTGTCACAGCGGAGCCACAAGGCTGTGCCATTTCATAGAATACAGTTTCATAGAATATAAGTTAATACAATAGAATAAAATGTATCAGAATAGAATTTAATAGAATAGAGACGTGATGTTTTTGTGTGAAGTTCTAAAGGACGAGCGTCTCGTCCTGGTGAAACGTCATGTGACGTGTCGTCTCATCAGTGACTGAACCCGGTGGATTTCAGGATTTAGCAGCTATTTTTAGTTTGTGTTTTCAAGAAGGATTAAATGATATTTTGGAAAAATACCTTCAGCTTCATGTTCATGTTGTTCAGTCTGTTTCTCATCATATGTAACTGTGTCACTGTGGTCGCTCTGAACGAGAGAAGACAGGGAAGAGAAAATGAACATGTAACAGGAAACACCAAGAGACAGCAAACAACAGGAATATAATATGTGTATTAACTGTGTGTGTGTGTGTGTGTGTGTGTGTGTGTGTGTGTGTGTGTGTGTGTGTGTCAGGTGACTCGTAACGCGATGCGGGCCAGCCTCCCTCTGCCTCCAGGTGACATCTACAACCTGACGGTGACGGCGTGCACCGAGCGCAGCAGGAACACCTCCATGCCCAACATCATCAAGCTAGGTCAGCACACACACACACACACACACACACACACACACACACACACACACACACACACACACACTGAGTCTGAGTCTCTGAGTCTTTGAGACCAGCATCTTGGTCCTGGACCTGTTGGTTGATGGTCTGAATGTGTGTGTATGTGTGTGTGTGTGTGTGTGTGTGTGTGTGTGTGTGTGTCCTCAGCTCCACTCTGAACCTGTTTTCAGCCTTAAAGTGAATATGAAACTTCATGTTTTCCACTTCCTCTTTGAGGCTGTGGTGGTATTTTGGTCCTCAGAGGAAGTGTCAGTGTTTCTGAGGCTCGGCTCGGCGCAGACCTGTTTCCACCTGCAGCTCTTTCCTCCACACACACACACTGTTTGATTTAAACCTGTGTGGTGGTTTGTGCTTCAGAACCGGCTCCTCCCAGGTCTCTGTACGCCGTCAACGCTACGCACTCGTCCGTGACTCTGCTGTGGACCGAGGAGGGAGTGGTCGACTACTACCAGGTCCTGTGTCGACCCAACAAGGCCAGCAAGGAGCTCAAGGTAAAACCACTGCGTCCATGTTTCCTCTGTTCGTTTACTGAGAGTTTACTTTCAAAACCTGAGTCACAAAGTTCTTCACATCCACTAAAAAGAACTTTCAAATATGTAATAAACATGTCGACGACAGAAAACAGGTCAAAGCAGCGCTGTGAATCAAAAGTCTCCGTTTGTTTTGTTGCTGGTTCAAAGTTGTTTCAGAGAAAATTCAAACACAAGGAAGAAAACTTTTACCACTTTTCAGTCACTTAAAAATCTAAGTATGAAATAACCAGAAAAGTCAGTCTGTAAAGTCAGACGGTGGAACAGCTGATTTTCCCATGAGGCCGATGGTGTTTCCCGCTCTGTGTTGGTGCGTGCTGCTGATTTCTTTTCATAATAAAGTTTTGACATGTTTACAACATGTAAGACTTGACGCTCCCTGAAGGAGGATGAAGTCAGACCTGGGTGTGGTTGTGAAGATGAACTGTTGGAGCTGTGTGCAGTTTATAGTGTTTCTGAAACACTGTCATGTCTTTACCTTCTTTAAATGTCAGCAGACCCATCAATCCCTCCTTCTCTGCTGCTTGTTACTCCACTGTGCACCCATACACGGCCCGGTCACGGCCCAGTCACGGCCCAGTCACGGCCCAGTCACGGCCCGGTCACGGCCTGTATATGAGGTTTACAGCTGGTCTTGTTTCTTGTTGTGTTATTTCAGGGCTAACCTGAGTTTTCAGCTGCAGGTGTGAGATTTGTGTGTGAGACCTTTGTGTATCAGCAGGGTGCCCCCACCCACCCACATGTCTCCTCAGTAATTACCTGAAGTAGAGTGACTCATGTTATTAAAGAGGAGGAGAGGATGTTTCCTGCAGAAGATACAGACTGAGATCATCAGCTGCTCTCCATGATCTGGTCTGATGTGGTTTTGATGATCTGGTCTCATCTGGTCTGATGTGGTTTCAGGCCCGGGAGCCTCAGGTGTCCAGCTCTCACGTGGTGACGGTTTCTGGTTTGATACCCTCGTCTTCCTACAACTGCACCGTCACCAGCTTCAGCTACAGCACGCCCAGCAAACCTGCTCACATCAGCATCTCCACCACAGGTAGGTGGTGCTGTCCTGACACTGAAGCTGCACCTGCACCACCTGCACCACAGGTTATCATGAATCATACATGTTTCTAACAGGTTAACTGCTCTGTCTGAGGGTTTTACCCTTAATTAGGAAATTGATGTTTAAGTGTTTTAGTTTGTTTAAAGTGAGTTTCACCTCATTAAAAAACCCTTAAATAAAACAAGTCCATTCCATTAATTATCCCTTAAAATCCTATTTAGAGCACCTTAATTACATAATTAATAATGAGTAAATTAATGGATTATAGTAACATGTCTTCTCTGTTTAAGAGATTTTTCAGACATGAAAACCTTTAAAATAAACAAAATAACATGAAAGTTGTCGTTGAATTTTCACTTTCATTGGGAAATGAATGGTGTCAATTTAAATGGGGGGGGGGGGGGGGGGGTCATCCCTTTAAATGCCTTTAAATGAAGCAGATAAGCCATTAAAACACTCCATATATTACAACACATTAATTAATCCATGAATTATCCCTTAAAATCACCTTAATTATTATAAGAATAACAAGAGTGTGAGGAAAATTAATGGAATTTTAATGTAAAAAAAATGAAGGAATTTATTTTCATTGTGATCATTTTTTCTCCTTTGATCACTGTCAAGCTAGTGTCAACACTTCCTGTGGATGTTTCACATTAAAAGCTTAATGTGAAAGTGAGGTCTTTTGAGCCACTCCAAGGCTTTTAATGTGAAACATCTGTGCAGGAAGTGAGTGAAATCAGAGAACATGGCGGACTCTGAGTGGAGGTTGGTCAGAATAACGAATCTCAAACCTGTGTCGTGCGTCTTCAGCTAAAGAGATGAACCCCAGCGTGGCGGCGATCTCGGCTCTGGCCGTCCTCAGCATCCTGCTCATCAGCCTGCTCGTCCTCTTCCTACTCGTTCTCCGTAAGAAACACCTGCAGATGACCAGGTACTAGACTCTTCATCAATATCACTTATCACCAAACCAGCAGCTTCATATTCTGTTTCCGTGACTCACGAATTTCTGCAGTTCAGTCTCATCCTCACCGTCGTGTCTCTTCTTAAGAGGTGAATAGAAATGAAATGTTTTTATTCACAGAGAACGATTGTAATTCATTTCGTCATACTTTTAGTTTTAAAATGTTTTCTCTTCCTGTATTTGTTTGTCTCATTTTCAGGTGTTTTTTCTTTTGGTTTCCATTTGTGTCATTGTTCATTGTGTATTATTCTTGTCTTCTGTCTGGTTTCACCTTCTCTCAGCTGCCACTCACCAACACTGTCTATGGGAAAATGAATGGGACTTTTATCACAGGAGCCTGTGGCTTCACTGGATGTGACCAGTTCTGGGACGATAATACTTAAAATCATAGTGGATCCACAGAGCTGCTGAAGTTAATGACAAAGCATCTGACTGTGCGATGTTCAGTAATCAATATGAACCGAAGCACATTTATTTTTATTAGGATTAAAAAGGCCCATTTCTTCTTCCTCTTCCAAATTCCACTTTTGTGTCATCAACAGTTTTGTAGTTTGTATCTCCAGCTGAGCTGTGGTAGGGAGGCTGACGCTGACCTGGTATGAACACTGCTAACCTCAGCTCTGCGGCTGTGGGTTGGTTCTGCAGTGAACACCCTGTTCCCTGCATGAATTCACAGCTCATTTTAACCTGCGCAGCAGCGTCAATCCGTCATTAGGACATAAACTACTTCCTCTTGTCAGGAGGCGAAAACCAGCAGAAACACTTCACAATAAATAACTGTGTGTTCAAGCAGCACAGGATCATATCAGAATCATATCAGAATCATATCTGAATTATATCAGAATTATATCAGGATCATATCAGGATCATATCAGAAGTATATCTGAATTATATCTGAATTATATCATGTTAGTGTTTGGATGACAATAATCTGGGTCTGAATTTTTCTTTTTGTTGTTGTCCAGAAAACAGCTGGAGAAAGATGTTTAAAGAGGCCATTAGCAGATTATATAGTGAATGGTGAATTAAGGTGGATTTATTTTTTTATTTTCTGTTATGAAGTGAATTAAATTTTATGACAGATGACTAGTGACAGATAATTTCTCCCAAGATGAAAAGTAAATGATAAAAATAACAAATTCTCAGTGTAAGATGCAGCTGGGAATTCAAATACATTTTTCTTGGCAATAAAAAATTTCAGTTTTGAGCAAAATTCAGTCAAAATCAGTAAAAAATTATTTTAAAAAATAGATGCAAGAACATTTTTAATTAACATCTTAAGAGACAAAATAATGAGAAACATTGCAGCCTTGAGTTGTTATCTCATTTCAGTTTACATCATTATTTTCAGTTTTTGTCTGTATATATATTTTGTTTGTTTATATATATATATATATCTGTGTATGTATGTGTGTGTGTGTGTGTGTGTATATATATATATATATATACACACACACACACATGTTTTTGAATCTGATTTCCACAAATGTTGCAAACTTTTTAAAAACATAAACACACTTAAAAACAAAAAAAAAAGTTCAAACTAAACTGAAAAAGATCAAATTTATATATTTGACTTTGATTAGAAAGTTAGAAATACTGACTTATGATTAGTATTTTTATTTTTGTAATTTTTTTACTTTTTATCAATTAAATTTTTGGGTTTCTTTAATAACAGTTCAGAAGCTGGTTCATGTGGACTTCCAACCCTCTCACGTCTTCACCACGTTTCCTGTAAACTGTCAAACTATCCAACAGTAAAAACTGAGTTGGATTGAGAACAAACTCTTCACATCATAAGTGTCTGTTATTTTCAGCCTCATGCTTCCAGCTCACTTCCTCTTTTTACTCATTAGTCATCAAATATTTCTGACTTCCTCAAACTGCTCCGTACGATTCTCACCACTGTGTGTTTTCTGTTTCAGAGAGTGTGGAGCTGAGACCTTCGTCAACTTCGCTTCGTTTGAAAGAGACGGGAAACTTCCTTACAACTGGTAGGTCCCCCCCCACCCCCCTGCCCTCCCCTCCCCCTCTGTTTGATTGCTCTTCTTTGAATCACTGTGAAATGTGTAAACGACAAGTAGAAATGATAGAATCACTTCACAGCCCTGAGACCTGAGTGGATGTTTTATCAGATTTGGAGACATCAGTAATCACACGTCCTCAGTTTGGATGTCAACACCCTGGAAAGCCCCCACCAGAGGCAGATTATCGGCCCAGCAGGGGTGAGGAGGCAGATTAGAGATTTGAACATGTAGCTACAGATTTTAGCTCATCTGTGGTGCTTTAAGCAGCGTAAGACAACGATGAAGATGAAGATGAGTTCAGCCCCCCCACCCCCCACCCCGCCTGCTTTGTTTGGACCAGCTGAAATTGGATGTTTGTTGATGATGAAGCTCAGGATTTCCCTTGATCTCAGATTAAAGGGAGAAAATTTGAGTCAATTGTGTGAAATTCTACAAAACAAGAAAGGAAAGAAAAAAAAGACGATTCTCAGTCGTCCTTTAAACTCTTTTAAAGGAAGAGTTGAAAACGCCTCTTCCTCCCGATGATGATGTGGCTGATGGATCAGATTCAGTCCCACACATGTGACTCATGACAACCACTCAGATTAATATAACAGCTGAAAGACGGTCAGTTAAGGCAGAACCTCGGCTTCCATCTGCTGTTGTATTTGACTCCCATTACTAAATGCACATGTCCATCAGAGTGTCTCTTCTCAGTGTGACGGTGGTGGTGTTTCTGCTTTGACTGTGCATGTCAGCTGACCAGCAGAGGACAGCTCATGTCTCCACTGATGCAGATCTGTAGAAAACAAAGTTCTTTGCACAACAACAACAACAACAACAACAAAAGTATTTCAATCTAAAAATGTCAGGTATTAAAACATAAATATGACCCTGTGTTTATTATTTAATATTGATACACAGACTTCACTTAGAGAAAGAAGCGTGAGCTGCAGCGTGAACAACGTTGTACAGGTTATGTACAGTATGATATAGTGTGAAGCTGTAGTGACACTTGTTGTTTTGATGCCATCAAATATTGATTAGAGGAACATAAGTGTTCAGGATGAGATCGATGATTATATTTGTATTTTTACTATTTTGGATGTACCTCCTAAAGAAGAGCAAACCATCAGTGTTTGTCAGTGTGGTGTTCCTCAGGGCTCAATCCTAGATCTTCTTCTTTTCTTTATTTACATGGTGAAGCAGACGTGTCCTCACTTTTCATTAGTGTGCAGAGGAGAATTACAGTATAAAACATATCATATGACTTAAAGACACACTCCACAATTTCCCTCTTGTTCCCATAATTCCATACTTTTGTATAATTTAGTTTGTTAATCCCAAAATTGATGTTGTTCAGTTTGTACATTGTAATATTTTATGAATCACAGTCACTTTGAGACAGTTTGTTTCCTTAATTTTGCTGCATTTGTGAACATTTTCAAAACAAAGGTTATGTGTCATTTTAAAATGTTTCAGTACATGTGTTGGTAAAGTCCCTGATTTTCAGTAGTAAAAAAAAAAAAAATCCTGTTTCGAGACACAGAGACATGTTTTTCTATTAAAACCTTTGTTGAAATTTTAATATTGAGTAAATGCAGACAGAACTTTGTTTAAATAAAATACAGAGTGAAAATGTTGATTTAAATCCGGAGCTAAAAGAACGAGTTAATGAATCTGATCAGATGTTTGACTCTAAAGTTTAAAGACAGTTTATGGTAAAAGGACAGACACTTTTCAGTCTGGACCAAACAGCACGACTCGATCTGCATCAGTGGGGTCAGGACCCAACAACACTAATGTTAATGAGATCATCAGGTTCGTTAAGGTGACCGTCACATGGTTTGACGTCACCACCGAGTGACAGACTGTGGACTGTTTATACACGACGAGGGTCCCAGCTGAGTGTTGCATTGTGGGTGACGGGCTGGGAGGACACAGTGATGTCACAGACTCAGGCTGGAGGTTGTTTAAATGAGACAGAGCGGTCATTGATGTCCGGCAGCAAACAGAGACTGATGTTGTCTTCCAGAGAGACAACGGGACACTTTCTGAGCGGCTGCATGAAGCATTAACTCTGTGTTCAGCACTAATGTGAAGCTCTGACGCTCTGTGCCTCTTTACTAATGAAGCACCATGTTCTGTCCCCAACCTGTCGCCCCCTGGTGTCTGTTCTTCTTCATTTGTTTCTTGTTTGTATTTTTATTTGACCCCCCTTCAGGCGAAGAAGCCTCTTTGCCTTCCTTACCCTACTGCCATCCTGCCTTTGGACTGACTATCTTTTGGCTTTTTATATTAATCCTTGGTAAGTAGCATTCGCTGGCCAAAAACACTGCACTTCAGGGGCATGTCCTAACAGAGCCACAGCCCACAGTATTGATCAGAGACATGGTTTGATCAGGTGACCTCAATGATCATATCTGGGTCCACAATTCAAACATAAGTCTGGTGTTATTCTAGATTTCTCTTTTCAACAAATCCCATGAAAAACCAACATGTTTCCTGATGGTGTTCCTCAAGGTTCATCCCTGGGTCTCCTTCTTTTCTCCATTTCCGTGTTTCCACTTCATTGGATCTTGTTTATATGTTTTGTGTTAATTTTATGCAGATGACATGCAATCATAAAAAATAAAGAAAATATGTATATAAGCATCAACAATATAACTATAAACTATAAATTGTCAAATCTGGTTGCTCCCATTTGGAAATTAAGTTAAGTTAAATGTTTTATGGTTTTACGAGAACAAGACTAATAATAATAACTGTATTTGCCCAAATATTTTTTCCATGTTTCCACTTGATCGATTGATACAATATTGATCAGCCACAAAATTATGACCACTGACAGGTGAAGAGAATAACATTGATAATCTTGTCACAATGGCACCTTTCAGTAGGAGGGATATATCGGGCATCAACTGAACATTTAGTCCTGAAGTTGATGTTGGAAGCAGCAGAATGATCAAGCGTGAGGATCTGAGTGATGTTGACAAGAATCAGACAAACGGACGTGGACGGTTGGGTATGTCGCTTACCTGGGAAAGAGATGGCAACATGGTTTGAGGAACGACAAGTTCAAGGTGTTGACTTCCAGATTCCCCAGATCTCAGTCCAGTCAAGTATCTGTGGGATGTGCTGGACAAACAAGTCAGATCCATGGAGGCTCCACCTCAGAACTTCCAGGACGTAAAGGACCTGCTGCTCACATCTCGGTGCCAGATTCCACAGCTCACCTTCAGAGGTCTATGAAGTCCAGGCCTCAACAGGTCACAGCTGTTTTGGCAGCAAAAGGGGAATCTACACAATATTAGGCAGTTGGTCATAATGTTATGGCTGACCGGTATATATATATATATATTATTCTCACAGAAATCTTAATGACACAAGTGTCATTTGATTTTACTTAATTAAGAGAACATTTTATGTTCTTTGAGTCTAAATCAAAATGTATTAATGTTTATATTGATGTTGTCAGACTGAAAACTACAATCTGATCTCTGAGAAAAGATACTTGTTTTGTCCACAGATAAAATATTAGGAGCCAGATTAAAAGTTTATATATTATCTAATTTATATTTGTCAGTAAATAACAACAAGGGCCCTAAAGTTGATCCTGAACACCAGATTTAAAGAGGAGCTCTGTTTATTCTTATGAAAGTCACATTAGCAGGTTTAAAAATGTCTCACCGAGCTCAAACTCATCATTTTATTTGGGTCTAAATAAAAAACAATGTGTTAATGGTAATGTAGATCATTGGTCATGGGTTTGGAGAGTGTGGTTTTCAACAAGGTTCAATGTTCGAGCCCCTTTTCTTTTCTTTTAACAATTAAATTGGATTGCAGCAGGACGGTGTGTGTGTGTGTGTTAATGAGGAAACTGGTTTTAATAGTTTGGAAGTCAGTGTCTCAGAGGAATCAGATTAATCTTTAAATCACACCGTGCTCGTTAGCTGGAGACGCTAAGTGTTGGTTTGAGTATGAACATGGGATTTGTTGACGAGGAAGAAACGGGAGAATAAAACCAGACTTCTACTTTAACACTTGAAATCAAGATGAATCTGAAGTTCAGTTTGAATCTCGGGCGAAACAGGAAGTCAGCTGATGATTGTTCTGACATGATGAATGCTGTGTCTGTGGTCGAACACTCAACGTCTCACTGAGTGTGTTTCTACTAACATGTTGGATGTAGCATGATGCTAACTGTCGATGCTAACTATGGCTTTGCTCCATGTATGGTGTCTGCATGATGTCTGTCTTTTACTTTTGTCTTGTTTGGGTTTTCAGTGTAGCATCAGTGTTTACAGTAGTTCTGCCTGTAGAGTAGTTATTGTGTGTTACTGTGTGTTAGACTGTAGATCTTCTAGTGCATGTTTCCAGTTAGAGGTTTAAATCTCCACATTTCCTCCTAGTTCATTTTTTAAAGAGTTAAACATTTCAAAACTGAGCTTTGAGGAAACGTGGATCATTTAATCCCAAAGAAGGATTTGACTGGAAAGTGAAAATAGAAGTATGAAGTGATAAAATAGTGTAAATGTAGAAACACTGCATGTTTAATGTGTTTGTATAAAACAGGAAACAATTTTAGATGAAAGGAGAATTTCTGAGCATGATGTTTTTATTCTTTACATTTCATTGTGATTTCTGTCAGTTTCTGGGCTCAGACCGATGAATGGGTTAAACACCGGCCTTTATGGAAGTTTACAACTGCCAATATTTAAATGGAATCTTTTTAAGTTGAAATTTTTTTTCCATTTTTGTGCTCTGATATGACAACAAATGTTAATTAATTTAAAAAAAAGTTTATTTTCATGTTTGAAAATTAAAGTTTACAACTTATCCTGCCGACACAGAAACAAACAAACACAAGTGAATTGACTTTTCATTTTCAAACAATTTGAAACATTAACAGGAAAATAAAATTTCAAACTCAATTTTGAAGTATGGAATTTGAATTATGATCAAATGTGTAATGAAACAAAATTAAATTAAATTTAAAAAATGTTAAAATAAAATTTTATGAAAATGACCATGAATAGGTTAATTTCCATTGTTGTAAAGAAATATTTTCTTTCATATATTATCAATAGAAAATGTGTACATATATATATATGATCAAAGTGATCGAATTAAAAGATTAAATGCAAAAGCCTAAATTGAAATGTGTAAAAAGAGATGACGATATAATGTTTTTTCATTTCACTCCCCCTCTTTTGTGATTTTTACTCATTTAACATAAATCTCCATAAAAGTTAAAACATTATTCAAATTTAAAAACAAAAGTTTGTATTTTAAATATTTGAATTAAATTCATTAAAAATGTAGATTAACATAATTTACATTAACTGGAATGTAAAAGTATAACATCATTTAATATACATACAGTAATCGGCACACAAATGGAAATCAAAATTTTAATATGATTAAATTATTTCATTTTAATATTGTCAGCCATAGACTTGTTTACACATTTAATGAATCAGATCTGAAAATATGAAATAATTAAAATTTCTGGTCACATTGTTTGTTTATGTAGCCTAATTATTATAAAACTAAAATAAATTAATTAAAATTATCATTTTTATACTTTTCACTGTATTTAGAATTAATTAAGAAAATACAGAATGTTTGAGAAATTCTGACGTGAACATTTGACAAACAACACATTCTGAAATCAGTCAAATTCATCAAGATATCATTTTTTTATGGTGAGCGAAGGCTTTAAACTCCGTCATCGGTCGAGCTGGTGTCTGCACAGAGGAGATGAATTGCTGAGTAAGATCGACGTCTTACTGTTCTTTGTAATTTAGTCTTAATGAAGTTACTGATGGATGATGGAGGAAAATTTACATGTCTGTATTTTATAGGAGCAAGACAGCTTTAAAGAAACGGAAGCTAACAAGGTAACAAGACTAAATAACAACACGTGGCTTTCAGTCTGTGGGCTTCATCATTCGGTGTTTTTTATTATTTGTTTGTTTATTTATTTTGTGTATTCGTGTGTATCTCTCTGCATGTGTGCTGCCATCGCACTAATACCAGCCTTCAGCCAGAAAACACAGAACATCAGTTTAATCCAGCAGCTTAAAGTGAAACTGAACCAACAGAGAGTTTGAACCTCCAGAGGCTGAGAGGAGGAAACATGGAAACATGACCAACAGACGTGTCAGTGATAAATGTAAAGACTGTAATCACTCCGTACATTACAGTCCTCATCAGAAAGGTTAAAGTTGAGACATGAACATACCTTTATCGTTCTGTGACGTCTCCTGAATTAACATTTCTAACATTTCTTTTTGTTTCAGACTCGTTCTCAGTTTATTCAGTCTGTGAATTTAAAGGGTTAAAACAACAGAAAGGTCACAAGGTCGTTAAAATCTAAAATGTTCGTCTGTGAAAAACAACATGATGAAGATCATGTTGTTTTGAATTTTAACCCCTCGTCATATTTATATTATATTTGTGTTTTCAGTCCGGTGCAGCTCGACGACTTCGACGCCTACTTCAAAGAAATGAGCAAAGACTCCGCCTACAAGTTCTCTCTGCAGTTTGAGGTGAGTTCAGTCAACATCTGGATCTGAACACACACATATATATATATATATGTGTGTGTGTATGTGTGTGTGTGTTTTTTGTTTTGTTGTTTTCACGGCTCTTTTTGTTTCAGTAAATAAAGTCGTGAGTTTTCAGATGAGAAAATGCCATTTAGATTTCTATGTTTATTCAAATTAACGACTTCTTTAAGATGTTTTAAGACAAAAGCAGCTGCTGGTTAACCTCATTATTATATTTTTATATTTCTTATTATTATTATTCACGTTTTTCAGGAGCTGAAGAGCGTCGGCCTCGATCTTTCCCATGATGCAGCTGACCTGCCCGTCAACAGACCCAAGAACAGATACACCAACATCCTCCCCTGTGAGTTCACTTCCTGTCAGCGGACGCCACGCTAACATTCACATTAATATTTAATCACATGACATGACGAAGAGTTTGATGATGATGATGATGAAACATGGAGTGACGTAGAGAAATCTTCCTCTTCTCTGTAGACGACTTCAGTCGAGTGAAGCTGATCTCGATGCACAACGATGAAGGTTCAGACTACATCAACGCCAACTACATACCTGTGAGTTAATCATGTAGATATGTAATATATAGATATACTCCGTGTTAATGATATAGATATATTATATACAGCTATAATCCATGATAATGATTTTATGGTTTATTCACGATAATAAAATTTGAATCCAAAGTCAACGTGTTAAAATAAATGTACATTTATAAATATTAAATGTAAAATACATGATGTAACAGCAGTGGTTGTTCTGACAGTATCACTGATGTAACACTGTGACATTAACACGGTGTTTCTGTGTTTCACACTCAGGGATACAAACATGCTAAAGAGTACATCGCCACTCAGGGTCCTCTGCCTGAGACCCGCAATGATTTCTGGAGGATGGTTCTGCAGCAGAAGTCTCCCATCATCGTCATGCTCACTCAGTGTAACGAGCGACGGAGGGTGAGTCTCACTCTGTCAGCTTCCTGTCTGTATTCACTCTGTCACACAGTGGACACAGCACTGCTCCTCACTCAGACACAAACACATTATCACAATCACTTTCTAATTACACTAATGACTCCAACATTAATATTACTGTTGTTAAGAAACACAGACGTGACAGTGACTTTACACTGAAACTGTAAAGTAATCCAGAACATTTCCAAACTCATTATTCTCATTATTATTATTAAATGTTTTTGAATCCCTTTGAATTTCTCAGTTTGTTCTGGATGTTTCGTTCTCAGGTGAAGTGCGATCACTACTGGCCGTTCACAGACGAGCCGGTGATGTACGGAGAGATCAGTGTGGAGATGCTCTCTGAGTCCGAGTCTCCAGAGTGGACCATCAGGAAGTTCAGACTGGGATATGTGAGTTTACCGCCCTGAGGCCCGGGGCCCGGGGCCCGGGGCCCGTCAGGGGGTCGTATCTAAAGCACGGCTGAAGCTGCAGTTCCTCTGGTGGCCACTAGATGCTGCCACCAATAGATTTTGATTAATAATCATCTTTTTTATCTTAATTATGAGAAAAAAATATCTGAAGTTTCTTTGGTGAATAAAGTTATTTCTGTTGAATCTCCAAATCAAATCAATACATAATCAATAATCAATACTTTATTTGGCTTCCTGTCAGTTTTCTTTCTGTCAGTCAATAAACACACTTTAAACACTTTAATAAAACGTCTGTGTGTCGCCCCCTGCAGGCCGACGAGACTCAGGACGTCCTCCACCTGAACTACACCTCGTGGCCGGATCACGGCGTCCCAACGGTCAACGCCATCGAGAGCATCCTGCAGTTTGTCCACATCGTCCGTCAGCAGGCCAACAGGACCAAAGACCCCATCGTAGTCCACTGCAGGTCAGCACCGGGTCTCTGGACCGGGTCTCCAGAGACCGGGTCTCTGAACCGGGTCTCCGGAGACCGTGAGACATCTGGATTAGATGGCTTATAATCATCTTATTAATTCAGTTGTTAACACTTTATAAATCAGAAATAAACAATTATAAACAGGTTATAACACAGTTATAACAGTGTGCGTGCGTGCGTGCGTGCGTGCGTGCGTGCGTGCTGCAGACTGTAGTTTTTAATGAGCAGTGTTCAGTGTTTAACTTCAGGAGAGACGCTGAGTCACGCAGCAGGAAGTCCGATCTCACTCTGACAGTGATGTAATGTCCGTGATGTCACTCGCCCTCCTCCTGTTGTTATGGTGATCTCTGTTGTCATGGTGATCTCTGTCTGTGCTCCTCAGTGCTGGAGTGGGCAGGACCGGGACCTTCATCGCTCTGGATCGTCTCATGCAGCACATCAGAGAGCACGAGTTCGCCGATATCCTGGGGATGGTGTCAGAGATGAGGTCACACCGTCTGTCCATGGTCCAGACCGAGGTGAGGACACACGGGTCAATGTCCTGTCTGTCACACACACACATATACACTATATATATATATATACTGTATATGTGTGTGTGTGTGGTCTAGTCTGGATTCTGAGGGAGTCAGAGTTCATTAACTCCTGTGTCTCAGTGTTTGCTTGATTTTTATTCTATTATTATTTTCTATATTATACTATGTATACTGAGTCTTTGTGGTTGACTCTCGTCTCTTTGTGTTTTGTGTCTCTTTGTAGCAGCTGGTTGAAGCGTTCAGCAGCTGAACTGCAGCGTTTAGTTTAAATGTGGATGAAGACGTCTGTCTTCAAGCTGTTTGTTCTTCTTCTGTGCAGGAGCAGTACGTGTTCATCCACCAGTGCGTCCTGTTGATGTGGCAGAAGAAGAAGCAGCAGTCCATCACCTCTGATGTCATCTACGAGAACGCCAGCAAGACATAATGATGAGAGTCCTCCAGACGTGAGTCACAGCATCATCATCATCATCATCATCAGCTTCATCAGGACAGAATGAAGTTTATTTGGTCTGAAACACTCGACAGTTTCTACAGTTAAAGAGAAATTATTATAAAGACCAATAAACAGATGTTCTTCCAGATGTTATGATCCACCTTCACCCTCCCTCTTCCTCGTCTTGCAGGCTGTGAACACGCCCGACCTCCTGTGCTTCAGGCATCCATTCTCTGCAGAAGAAGATTCGCTTCATCATCAGTATCAAAAATAAAACAAACATCTCAACGACGCCAGAGGAAAAAATGGATCCAGTTTTTTGTTTGAATTAGTGTTAAAGCTCGGGGGACGGAGTTCTGCCTTAAGGAGCCTTCACTGACTGACCGACATGTTCGACCACAACCCGCCCTCTGAACTGGACTGACTCACGTCAACGTGGGGCGGGGGGAGCGTTAACCGGCTCCGTCTGCTGATTGGACGTCTGCGCTGTGTCCGTCCTCGTTCAGACGACGAGTGGGTGGAGCTGAGTCAGCAGTTTCTCATTTTATTTATGTTTTTAATCTCAGGAGTCGCTGAAAAACCAGCAAGCACATCGGCCTCTTCCTCCTCCTCCTCCTCCTCCTCCTCCTCCTCCTCCTCATTGGTTAGTCTGTGTGTTCACCTTCTGCAGCTGCAGCCGTCCTGGTTGTAGATACGTCACACACTGCCAACACACAAACACTGGACTGAAACATGTCGACGATTAAACTCCAACAGCGCTAACATGCTAACGAGCTGCCAGGACCGCTGCACAGGAAACACTCACTGAATCAACCCAGCAGGCGTTCGACAGAAGGTCGAGTTTGGACCAACGATGAGCACAAAGTTTAAAGTCTCCACATGCTGACGCTGCTTTTTAATTTGTGAATTATTTGCTGTTTTTTAATCAAACACTAAAAACGACTCAAAATGTTTTGGAGGAACTTCCTGTTTCAGTCCAGGGTGAAGACGCCAACACTGACAAAAAATATCTTGGAGGTGAAATCACCCTTTAGTTTGAACTTGCTGAAAGTTTCAGATTTAAAGCAGCAGAAGAAGAAAACTTTGTCCTGGTTTCTCTGAACGCATCGACACGTTTTTATTTGGTCGAATCAACGTCGAACACGTGAATGTTTGCTGGTCTGCACAAAACTAAAGGGCACAAAACAGTGGAAGGGAACGGACGCCTTTCTGTGGAGCGCCGCCGTCCCGCCATCAGAGGCCAGTTTAGAGACTGTGGTCGTAGAGCTGTAGTTTGTATTTGCACTGAGGACTCGGAGCTGCCGACTGAAGAAGGGAAGAGTTTCTGTTCAGACGTGTCGCTCCACGTCCGTCCTCTGCTCTGATGAAGGACGAGAGGTTTGTGAACAATCAGCAGAGAAATGATCGTATCTGACGTCGCTCACCTGGAGACGGACGAGAGACTGTTGCTCGGTGAACTGCCAAAACCACTAAGACGTGACATCAACACCTGAGATCAGGTTTCCCGCTCTGATTCTGAAGGCGGGAAATGACAGAAACATATCTACTCATCATCTCTGGAGCCGTTCAGGGGCCCAGACATCATTTCTGTTCTCAAAATATCAACATGTAAACACTTAATATCAATTTAATAAAACTCTGTCAAACATACAAAAAACAAAACGTTTACATTTTAACTTTGAGACACATTCACTGATTTTGTTGCAGCGCCCTCATTTTTTTATTTTTTGTTATGATCAAAAATTTGTTTCCACAGCAAATATATTTAATCCTCAGACACTATTCTAAACTTCAAATGTAATATTTCTCTACACTTTTCAGATCATTTCTGAAAATGAATGGTGAAAGTAACAAATTGGTTTATTTCCGACATTATACAGCTGGATTGATTTTAAATAAAAATCTATCAATTTAATTAGACACACATTAGATGGAAATTGAGTTCAGTGTCCCGTTTAATAAAATGTAGTTTTCCACAATTTTCATTTAATTCACAATATTTGATATAATTCCCCAAATACCAATAAAGTGACCATAAAATTCATGTTCAAACTTTATTTATATAGTTTGTCCTACATTTACATTTGAAATGAAAATTTTAATATTGAGCCCAGGTTTGCTTTTACAAAATTTGGGCTAATCATCAGTCCCACTGTTTTTTAATCTGTAATGTGTTAAATGCAACAACACGGTTGTGGCATCAGAAACACTAACATCTGTGACCTTAACATTTTTATAATGCTGCTACATTTAGGTCATAAACCCAAAATGTGTTATTGCACTGCTAACTAAATTATTTTTATCTCCTATATTTTGTGAATTAATCTTCCAAAAGAATCTATATTGAAATATGTTGTAGTGACCTCAGAAATGATGTAATAAACACCAGATTGTGAGATTGATTTTGATGCAGAGCCTGTAAATCAACATGTAATTTGGTTTGTGAGAGTCTGGGTGTGATTCTCTCACATTGTTGGACAGTTAATGAAATTTTTGGGCGTCGTAACAGAATCAGTGAGTGTGATATTAAAAATAAACAGAAACCTATTAGAGTTTACACTGGGTTTTTCTGGGGCCCCTAGTGGCCCCTGGTTTGATCCCGGCTCGGGTCAGCTCTCCACATCTGTCTTGAACTCACGACTTCTGTACAGAAACTAGTCGTGAAGCCGTTCGTCTGCTCGTTCATCATATCAGAGTTATTAACGATGATTTGTCATTTTCCATCTTTCTACTGAAGATTTGACTGAAGGCCAAAAGAAAACTCACATCTGTCACTTCCTGTTGACTGTAGAGAATGTCTACTGAACAGACGAGTGGTCGACCTTTAACCTTTTACACTCCATTCAGGATGTACAGGGTGTCGTCAAAATAAGAGCACAGCACAACACCGTTCCCTTCAGTCCAATATAAAATACATTTTCCTACATTTATGGTGTTTGTTTTAAATGCACGTTACAAATAAACTTGATTTGATTGATTTAAACAGATAAGATTTAGTTCTGACACCAGCGTTTACTCAGCACCTCAGTAAACGCTGTCAGACTTTTCTGTAGAAATAGTTTTACTTTGGAAATACAGTTTCCTAGAAAAACTATTTTGTTTTAGTCAAATTTTGATAGTTTTTCTTTAATTGACTAATTTCTCCAATAGATCAGTGTTTAATAAAATACAGTATTAAATTGTATAATACTATAAGTACATTAAATTAAGATTTTAAGAAATACATTCATCCAATTATAATTTTAATCTCAAAATTTGATATAACATCCCCAATTAGTAAAATATTGTATTACACCCCTCAAAGTTTTTATAAATGCACATTTTTTATCGAACTCTCCAACTTAATGCTAATTTTAAAAAACTGGTTTGGAACCCAAAGTATTAAATTTTAATAAAAGAAAAAGCTGTTTCGTTATTTTGACGACACCTTGTTTGTAATTTGTAGAAAATTTTAATTAACGAATGTTTGTAAAGAAGTCGTCTGACACGTCAGTGTTGACCTGTGAAATGATTCGTCCTTGTTGCCTTGCGGTTCAAACACCTGAAGTCTGTACCTGTTCTCCGTCTCGGACCCTCAGAGGTTCGGTACTTTGGTCGCCACTCGATCTGAACTAGGTTTCATTTCACTATTAGATATCAAATGTACTGTACATACTACTACTGCTTAACTATTCTGTTTCTACTCGTCATTACAAAGTAATTCTTGTGGAAATGTTGCTTTAGAGGTTTGTTTTTTAAAAGTTGTTGTATATGTGAATCATCATTACCTGAGCCAGAAGCTTCGTTCTCTCATCACTACAATGGTTCGGGTTCTCGGGGCGTCAGCGTCGACGTGAACGGACAAACACGTGTTTGGAGAACTTGTCTGTGGCCGGAGAAACACTCTTTGGTTCAACTGTCACAAGAAAAAAGAAAAAAAGAGAATAAAAACTGACAGACAACCTGCAGACAATGTCCTGACGCTCAGCACTGTACACTCTTCTACAATTCTTTCTCTTGCTTAGTGTGTGTCCAGTCAAACTTGTACGTCATTGGTGCCATTCTTGTGCATTGTGTCACTTAAAATTTGAGGGATGATCCTGAACTCGGATCATCATCACAGAGTTTTAATGTGTGTGTGTTGGAACAAAATAAAATGTTGCAGTTACAGGTGTCGCCTTTTACTTTCTATCTACAAGCTCTTAAAGGAATTTTCCAACATGTTCTACGACTGAGGAAACATCACAACTTTTTTGATTTTGATTTGGCTGGGATTCAATCCTAGAACCTTTTCAGTGAGAGGCAACAGTTATAACACTGTAACACCGTACCGTGCCATCACAGATTTTTAGTAGAGTCATGAAAACATCATACAATCGTGAGATATCAAGACCTCATAGTGTAATAAGGCAAAAAAAGTCATAATATAGTAAAGCATAAAAACGTCATAGAATCGTATGGCAAAAAGATTCATAGTAAAGTAAGTAAAAAATGTCATAAACATGCCATATTAGTGTAAGGCATAAAAATCATAGTACACTGTAGCCTGTAAGACTAATATAACAGTTGTGACAGCTAACCCTAAGGCATAAAGTGTCATAAAAATGTAATAGTATAAGAAGACATAAAAACGACATAGTATAGTAAGGCATGACAAGTCATAAAAATGTAATAGTGTAGTAAAGTATGAAAAGTCATGAAAACGTCAAAGTATAGTAAGGCGTAAAAAGTCATAAAAAGGACATAGTATAGTAAGGCATAAAAAGTCATAAAAACGTCACAGTATAGTAAGGCATAAAGTGTTATAAAAATGTAATAGTATAGTTAGGCAGAAAAAGACAAAAATACGTCATAGTATAGTAAGGCATAAAAAGTCATAAAAACGACATAGTATAGTAAAAATGTAATAGTATAGATAGGCAGAAAAAGACAAAAATACGTCATAGTATAGTAAGGCATAAAAAGTCATAAAAAATACATAGTTAGTATAGTAAGGCATAAAAAGTCATAAAACGACGTACAGGAAGATTTAAGAACATCATAATATAGTGAGGCATGAAAAGTCATAAATATGTAATAGTATAGGAAGACATTAAAAGTCATAAAAACGACATAGTATAGCAAGGCACAAAAAGTCATGAAAACGTCAAAGTATAGTAAGGCAGAAAAAGACAAAAATACGTCATAGTATAGTAAGGCATAAAAAGTCATAAATACGACATAGTATAGTAAGGCATAAAAAGTCATAAAAACGACATAGTATAGCAAGGCACAAAAAGTCATAAAATGTAAAAGTGTAGTAAAGCATCAAAAGACAAGAATACGTCATAGTATAGTAAGGCATAAAAACGACATAGTATAGTAAGGCATAAAAAGTCATAAAAACGACATAGTACAGTAAGGCATAAAAAGTCATAAAAACAACATAGTATAGTAAGGCATAAAAAGTCATAAAAACGACATAGTATAGTAAGGCATCAAAAGACAAAAATACGTCATAGTATAGTAAGGCATGAAAAGACAAAAATACGTCATAGTATGGTAAGGCACAAAAAGTCATAAAAACGAAATAGTATAGTAAGGCACAAAAAGTCATAAAAAGGACATAGTATAGTAAGGCACAAAAAGTCATAAAATGTAAAAGTGTAGTAAAGCATCAAAAGACAAAAATACGTCATAGTATAGTAAGGCATAAAAAGTCATAAAAACG